TTTTTTTTAAGTCTGTATTTTTACAAATGATGATTCATTCCTGTATAATGTTTGACTGCAAAATTATAGCGACCACGGCTGCCAATATTTGACTGTACAGGAACATTTGTTGCAGTTTAGGTTTAGCTTGTAGTTGTAACAACAAAACCTTTAGGGAACCTGCAGAGAACATGCAGGGTTTAAGATTGTTATTAGTAGTATATGTCTGCATGTCATAGTAGAGTTTATACATGTTCAAATAACAATAATAAGAAAACATGTTTCTGTTATTACATAGATTTCACCTGTTATGTTAAATTATAGATAATATCCAGTAGAATTGCGAGTATCCATGTAGATGTTAACCTGAACATAAAAAGACCAAACAAGACAAACAGGAATGTGTAATTTACAGCTAACTACACTTTTTTAACAAATTGTAACCATTGTTTTCTTAAACCATGTGCTGTTTTCTTGAATTACAGATGATATCTAGTAGAATTACAAAGGAAAAAAGTATCCATATAGATGGAAACCTTAAAAAAAACACTGTAAATAATGTCCACACCAAATCTGTATGTTTACAAAAGGTGATTCATTGTTGTACATTGTTTGACTGTAAAATACTGACGACAGCTGCCAGAATTACAGTAACTTCACAGAATAATCAGTCACAGTAGGTTTATAGTTGTATTTGTCCTCATGGCTCTAATTAAGAGCAGCATTATGTGAACTACAACCACGAGTAGCTGTCTGAAGTTGGGATCCAACACAAATGTCTTTTTAAAGGAGTTTATATAGTCGGGCTGAACATCAAATCGATTTTCACTTTGTGTGACAGTTTGTTGACATCAAACAGCAAAATGATGAGGAACAGGAGAGAAGCTCTGGAAAAAAAAAAACCTGATTTGGTCGCAAGAAAAATCATTTAAATCAGCGACACAAAGTAAATAAAAACAATTTTCAATGCTTTTGTCGGCGTTACAGGCGGACTTTTCTCGCTTCAGCTTCTCACGTGGCTGCAGCAGTGAAGAAGTGTGTCAGTGTTGCATCAGCGTTCGGTTTGGTTACAGGTGCAGCACTTTTCTGATTACATTTAATTACACACCTCAGTGGTTTCAGAGGTCAGTCAGAGTTGAAACAAACTTCAGCCAGAGAGGAAAGTTAAACACTGGTGTTCAGACTGGTGTTGGAAAGGGAAAACACATCACCAGTTTTCATTCAACAGAGAACAACTGAGAATTAGATTAAACTGGAAATATATGAAAACAAGCTGTGCTAAAAAACTATTGAAAGGTGTAAGTTGGGGGTTAAGTTTGTTCTCATTAGTTGACAATAAAGGCTCCAAAAAATAAGGCTAAAACAAAATAAGGCAGCAGTTTGAATCAATCTCTCTGAGTTCAGATAACTTCTACTTAAAGTAAGTTCAACCAACAAACTACAATGAGTTAAATAAAAAGATATTGGTAATTACCACTGACTTAAAAACTGGCAGCATAGACACAGGTTTTTAGGTTGATTATTCATTAAAAATAGGTTGTTCCAATTCATATTTCCATGTCATTTAACACAAATTTTGTGTGTGTTGCGTACTTAATTACCATAATTACAAACACAAGTATCGAAGATGGAAAATTAAAAATATTAAGTTGCTCCAGTGTTATATAATTCAAGAATGGGACTTGAAATCCTGACCTCGAGTTCAGGAGTTCAAGCTCAGTTTATATCTCAGCTTGAATTTAGTTTCAAATCAAGTAAAGCAGAAACTTGAGTTTAAATGACACAATATGAAGTTGATCCAATTACCAACATTATTCTGTCAACACAACCAATCAAAATAATGTTTGCAACTTTTAGTTTATATAAATTAGTTTGTTTTTTTTCCGTTGAATGCAGCCATGCATTTAATTAGTTTTACTTTAAGTAATTTGGTCCCTAACAAATTACTTTTTTGTAGCGTGTGATCTGGAGCATAATGCCGGTGGTTTAATTCACAGTTAGAAAATGGATAAACGTGTTGGTGCAATTAAGTGAAAAAGCAAACGTTTTCTTTTTAAAAACATGAGCTCTGGGCCAATCTGATAGCTCAGTAGAGCATGTTGTATAATACTCTCTTTCAAATAAAGGCACAAAAATGTGGTTCGGATATCATCTTTGAAAAAAAACTCTTGTTTGGTGACTCAAAATCAATTAAAAAAAACACAAACAGCAATTACTATGATAGTAATATAACATTTAGAAGATGCTTCTGGCAATAAATGAAGCTCCTGTTTGCTACTGAATATCAGATGAGACTAAAACACCAGTCATTGTATATTTTATGTGCCTGAAGTTATTATAGATCAATAAGAGCTGCATCTAATGATACGATTCATGTCTCCCGATTATGTATATTAAGTTATTTACAGGTTACAAAGACTGGGTTCACATTTGGGTGGTCATATCAAACAGGCTTTAGAGATTAAATCATTTTTTTCAGAATAGTTTCGCTGACTTGCTTCCTTCTGAATAAAATGAAAGCTACAAATATCAGCACCTGGACACATAATTACTGAGTCACGCGTGTTGCTGAAGAACCTGTCAGCCCATAAATTCTTCTTTTTTTTTGTTCTACGCTGCAGTAAAAGTCTTATTTCCCCATTGAGCCCTTATGTTCTGAGTCGTGTCTCCGTCTCCTCCGTCAGGTACGAGATTATGAACTTCCAGCGGGTGGAGCCTGGAGTTTACGACTACATCAACATCGGCTCGTGGCACGAGGGCGTCCTCAGTCTGGACGACGACATGCTCCAGATGAACCGCAGCGACATGGTTCGGTCCGTCTGCAGCGAGCCCTGCTCCAAAGGAGAGATCAAGGTCAAGGACACATCTTTTATGTGTAGTGATAATATATCTGGGTGCTGCAGAATTCAGTCTCTGTACTGGTATTTACATGCGTAAGATGCATAATAGGTATATAAACGTCCATTTGTTCACCTTAGAGACAAACAGCTGGATTGGTGGCACGGTGTGACATGTTGTACCCTTTATAAAGGTAAAATTTGCAACTAATGCCTTTAATAATAGTTCATATGCACTAAAACGTTCTAGATGCAAGTCATAGACCAGGAATAAAAGCACATTTTGGGTTGCCAGGTTGTGAAAAAGCACATTTACTGATGCTTCTGTTCTATGATAACATAAATTTACATGTTGGAAATCCATTATACTTTCAGATTTCTTAAAAACCATCAAGTTTATTATTTTAAATGGTAATTAGTAGTAAATAAAAGTATTTTTCTAAAGTTGAAGTCAGATCTGTCTCAGTAAATCTTGATGAGATGTAAAATTATGTAGATTTTTATCCTGACTGTCATCTTCCTTTTCTAGACATAAGCTTTCACTAAGTTATAATTAATAGCTCTTAACTAATAGAACCACAACAACTAACCAAATAATTGATGTTATCAACTATTAATTGATTCACTAACTGTTCTGATAATCATTTTGAGCAGATTTTCAAGACAAAAAGTTGAAACATTCTGTTTCCAGCATCTAAAATGTGAATATTTTCTGGTTTCTTTACTCCTCCATGGCAGTAAATTTAATATCTTTGGACAAAACAAGACATTTCAGGATGTCAGGTTGGCCTTTGGGGGACACTGATGAATATTTTTCACCATTTTCTGACATTTTATTGAGCAAACAGCTAATTATCAGATTAATCAACAATAAAATAATCATTAGTGGCAGCCCTAATAGCTTAGGAATTGTAAATAACCATTTATAAAACCATTAATTACATCTCTGGCCCATATTAAGAAGTTCTATTTGTATTTCAGTTGATGATTCTGTTAATATAGTTCATTTATATACCTGCTACTCACTCAAGGACAAATATAAAAGGAAACCTGTTAGAAAAAGCCACTTAGTGAGTCTTGGTGCATATTTCCATGTCTTTGTCCATGTGATGCACCTTTCTATCTTTAGTTTTTCTGTGTTGAAAACAAATATTTAAATATTAATACATAGTGTGCCTCCCTCTGACATGGAAACACATCCACGGTAGATGCGAGTACTTGTAGGGAAAGTATTTTTACATTTTTCTACATGTTTCGTCAACCAGGTGATAAGGAAGGGGGAGGTGAGCTGCTGCTGGATCTGCACCGCCTGCAAAGACAACGAGTACGTCCAGGATGAGTTCACGTGTAAAGCCTGCGAGCTGGGCTGGTGGCCTGACGAAGAACTGGAAGGTATGATGTGATCCTTTATACTCCACTCAGCGGCTTCTGTATCTGATGAGAATGTTGTATAAGAGCCAGCAGAGGATTTTCTGTAGAGAAGAGTTCGATGTTTTTGAAATAGGCTGTCGAAGAACATCACCATCCAACTGGTTAACTTAGCACAACAAAAAGAGAGGGAACAGTGGAAAACAACCTACCTGGACTGTAAAAAAAAAGTACTTTAACTGTAAGTTTTTATTAGTCCGAGCACCCAAATAGGGTGTGAAGACCCTATTGGAACTGCTCGGGTTTTTATTATTATTCATGACAATGAAACGCGTTTTTGAGGTACACAACGTACTAACACACACACCAAACTCGCCACACACATCAGACCCGGCGAAAATTTTATAATTAGGGGGAAATACTCACCTCAATAGCAACATGGCTCAACAGCGCCCCCTACAAAATTACAAAAAATGGGCCCCCGAACACACTTTCACGTACAGCCACGAAATTCAGCACACACGTAACAACTCGAGACGCACAAAAAAGCCTCAAGAACACATACCCGAAACTCAACAGGAAGTCGGCCATTTTGAAAAAAAATGGCGGCTCGCCGCTGAAAATTGACCATTTATGGCCGATTTTCAAAATTTACCTCCTCTACGGGGTAAGTCATACACACCTGAAATTTGGCCAGCACAAACTACACAACGTGGTGATTAAAAGTTATCAAAACGCTCTGCAAAAGTCTGACGGTTTAGAAATGGTGGCCTGTGCAATATTGATCAATGGCCATTTTGGCCATTTTGTTGGTGTTTTTGGCATTCGTCGGGGTGCCGTCGGAAGGCTGTTACATCTACACCTACAAGAATCGGTGGGCATGTGTAGCAGGTCGGGATGCACAAAAAAGTCAATTGGTGCCAAGCCCTAAACTCAACAGGAAGTCCGCCATTTTGAAAAAAAACAGTCAGAATTTTGCGATTTTGGCTCATTTTTGGCCATTTTTAGCCATTTTCAAAACCTATCTCCTCCTAGGGGGAACATCATACACAGTTGGAATTTGGCCAGCACAAACTACACGACGTGGTGATTAAAAGTTATTAAAATGCTCCGCTGAAGTCTAACAGTTTGGAAGTGGCGGCCCGGGCAATTTGCATCAATGGCCATTTTGTCCATTTTTTTGGTGTTTTTGGCATTCGTCGGGGTGCCGTCGGAAGGCCGTTTCATCTACACCTACAAGATTCGGTGGGCATGTGTAGCAGGTCGGGATGCACACCGACTGTCTCAGTCGCACTCCAGCGAGAAGCAAGGACCCGACCAATGCCGCTTGCAGCTTTAATTAATTTATTATTATTATACTGTTATTTTACATATTTTCCCAGTTATATTATATTACAGATAAATACAAGTAAAGTCACAGAAAAAAGGTATTAATTTACGTGGTATCTGTAAAAAACCCAGACCTAAACTGTAAAACTGTATTTTACAACTGGTATTTAGTTCTTGTTTGACTGTAGAAGTACACTGTTTGTACTGTATTTAAATCGGGAAAAAAACTGAATTGTTTCAGATATTTTACAATTTTTTGGGGAAAAAAATGTATATTAAGAATCTAAAAATGTTAAGTAATTCATTAGACTGTTATCTTAATGATTTTGTGTGTTTTATTAAATAGCAGATATCTATTAAAATGAAAGAAAAATGTCTTTTTGCCATGAATTGTACTACGACCGTACCCACCTGTCACTCTATGCAGTCATAATCATGCACAACTTTAAGCCCTCATAAAATGTAAATGGGTGAGTTATACTAATCTTCATCTCCTGTACAGTTGTCACAGACAGTAAAGTTAGCCATAGAGACCACAACATGTTTTGCACAAGGCTGTAAACATGTTTATTCCTGCTGTGAAGTTGGACATTTTAACATTAAGGTCTATGGGGACTGGAGTCAGCCTCAAGTGGCCTTTTGAGGAACTGCAGTTTTGGCACATACGTGTCGGCTTAATTTTCTAACATCAGAGGCTGCTGCTTGGTTTGAAGTCAAAATGTCTAAAACATTAGACAACATCCCTATTGTGCCTTTTTCAGACCTCCATTTCTTAAGTTAATGGGACTAAATGGGTGTTGAGTATTTGGTGTTTGTAGAAAAGCTGCAAAGCAAACATGGGGTGTTTTTTCCCGCTTTGTGCGCTGGTGTTCATAGGTCAAAAATGGCATAATTTCAAGGTCCAACTTCCCACTTCCAAGGTGCATCCAATACAGCGTAAGTGCTGCTAGCTGTGGCTTCATATCACAGACAGAAATAGTTTCTCATCAAACTCTCAGAAAGTCAATAAATGTATTTCCTAAAATGTCTAACTGTTGCTCTGAGTCATCAAAACACCAGTTCGTCTACAAAATTCATCCAAGACAAAATGCCTCGTCCGACTACAACAGCAGATTTTGCTGTTCTGCAGTTTTTTTCATCATTTAAATTTAGATGAATTCAGGTTGCCTCGGTGGCCGCAGGCTGCGTTCCTGTTGCATGATTGATGCATCCAGAGATAACAGGAGATTCTTCTGGCTTATTAGGGGCTGTGTACAAAAAAAAAGTTAAGTTCCTCCGAAGCTTTTTCTTCTCCTCCTTTCTACCTGTTCTCCGTACAGCTTGTCCTGCTAGGATTTTTTTGCAGCGCTATTCCATAAACCTGTTCTGTCCTATTTTCATTGCTTTCCCATGACACCTGAGAGCCATTCATCATCTTCACCATTTCATCCGACAGCAGCCCTACTTCACTTACCACTCTTCTGGCCCACTTTCAAAGGCCTTCTACACTGTTCAAAGACAAGACACTTTCTTAATAGGATCATCTTCTCTCCATGCGCTTCATTTTCTTTTTTTTTCTTTTTTTTAAGCCACACAATGTTTAGCTTCACACAGAAACGATATCATTTGGAGCACAAGGATGACATTAAAACTCCACAGTGCACCTTTCTAACCTAGACTATCCTGCTGTTGGACAATAAATAAATAAAAGAACAGGAATTAGATATTCAGAGTGTGTCCTCAACATGAAGCGGAGAGCTGATCTTATTTGGATCCATGAAAAACGCAGTTATTTACTTTGTCCTGCTGCACTGGCCCCCCTCCTCTGCTGGCTGCAGCCCAGCCCGGCCATGGCTGAGCAGAAAGGGGTTTATTTATAGTTGAGCTAAAAACCTACTTTGAGACTTACTGTATTTTCTCAGGCTAAGATGTATTTGATTAATTTTACATGCACCCATACAAAACCACCTGAAGATTTGACGCGTTTTCATTTAAAAAGGCCTTTTTATTTAATTACTTTTCTCGTGATAATCAGGAATCTAACCACCAAGCTGATGCTGAAATGATGAAAACTTTATGAGAAGCTTTCAGTGTGTTTCAGGTTGTGTTTTTATTCTCGTGTTTTCCAGGCTGTGAGCCGATCCCGCTGCGCTACCTGGAGTGGAGCAATCCAGAGTCCATTATCCAGGTGGTCTTCTCCTGTTTGGGCATCCTGGTGACGTCGTTCGTCGCCTTCGTCTTTGTCTTGTACCGCGACACTCCTGTGGTCAAGTCCTCCAGCCGGGAGCTCTGCTACATCATCCTGGCCGGGATCTTCCTGGGCTACCTGTGTCCCTTCACCCTCATCGCCAGACCCACCGTGGCCTCCTGCTACCTCCAGAGGCTTCTCGTCGGACTCTCGGCCGCCATGTGCTACTCGGCTTTGGTGACCAAAACCAACCGCATCGCTCGCATCCTGGCAGGCAGCAAGAAGAAGATCTGCACCAGGAAGCCCAGGTTCATGAGCGCCTGGGCCCAGGTGGTGATCGCCTCCATCCTAATCAGCGTCCAGCTCACCCTGGAGGTCACCCTCATCATCATGGAGCCTCCTGAGCCCATCAAATCCTACCCAAGCATCAGAGAAGTCTTCCTCATCTGCAACACCAGCAACGTGGGTGTTGTTGCTCCGCTGGGCTACAACGGTTTGCTCATCATGAGCTGCACCTATTATGCCTTCAAGACCCGCAACGTTCCCGCCAACTTCAACGAGGCCAAATACATCGCCTTCACCATGTACACCACGTGTATCATCTGGCTGGCATTTGTGCCCATCTACTTTGGCAGCAACTACAAGATCATCACCACGTCCTTCTCCGTGAGCCTCAGCGTGACTGTAGCTTTGGGGTGCATGTTCACTCCGAAGATGTACATCATCATCGCCAAGCCAGAGAGAAACGTGCGCAGCGCCTTCACCACCTCCGACGCCGTGCGCATGCACGTCGGCGACGGCAAAATCGCCTGCCGGAGCAACAGCCTGCTCAACATGTTCAAGAGGAAGAAGAACACTGGGAATGGCAGGTAGGTTCAGTAATTGAGTCTGTGATTCCTGCTCCTGAGGCACCTCAGGGATGCTGGTTTTACTGTAATTCCCTCTCAGAGGGAGCCTGATGTCTTACTGTATTCACTTTCATAGGAGCACCTGTTGTAAAGTGTGACGGATATAGGTCAGTACTCAATTCATTTTAACCTTTGAACTGTTGGTAAAATTAAAACAAGCATCTCTGTGTGCTAAGGGAGGGCGAGTGAGATCACAAATACAGAACGCAGGGTTTCTTCAGGACTCATCAAGTTAAATACCCAACATTACTGCCTACTGTGAAATATTTAATACGTTTTTATTCAACCCTCTGAACCCCAAAACCTGTCAGCACGCTTGAAAGACATGTTATTATAAAAAAGAAAATGACCAAAATGACACCATTTGTCAGAAACTGTAAAATCAGACTCAAATCTTTGGATGTTCAACTTTGTGATGGTTCTTCAATGAACTGTCTGCGACATGCAGTTCTGCAGTTGACCGAATATGAACTTCAAATCATGATATTTAATCAAAGTCACTTTATACTACATTTCTCATTTTAAAAAAATCACCAAAAATAATATATTTTCTCAAACTGGATTCTGTAAAAAACAAAAATTCTGCACTTCTTGGCACAACATTTAAGCTATGAGTGGCTCTGCTGTGATCAACAGTAAAGTGAGAAAAATTCAAGGACTTTTTGAATGAACTGAGCTGAACTGCAGGCTGTGTAAAGAGCAGATAGGAGTTTAAAAAATGGAAACGAAATGTAAGGAATATGACATTTCTAGTGTATAGACTGTTTTTGTTTTTTTCCAAGATTGGTATCACCTGAAAAAGAATGTTGACAGTTTTCCCCTCATTTTTCATATTTGTAAAATAAAGAGTCAAAGAAATTTCTTTTTTTTTTTTTTTTTAAATGATTATTTATGGATTTATAACTGTGATGCAGCACAAAAGACATGTTTGAATTCTCTCTACTTCTAGCCATGGTTGTGTTGTTCCATAGATGTGCAGAACTTTATATTGCAGTGAAAAGTGACTAAAAATGAGACGGGAGCAAAAGCTGCTCAGAGGTTCAGAGGGTTCATGCATTCTAAGGTATTTCAGTGCTTT